ACATACATCACTAAGATAAAAACCTCTGTAGGCTAAAACACTTGACCTCAATAAGGAAAAAAAAATATGCAATGCAAACAAAGAGGAGAAAAAATATGATTGTTAATGGATTGCATTTGGTTATACTCAGATCAAGCCTTCAATCAAGACAGAAAGTTTTAAGTCAAATAAAGCTATGCTGAAAGCTTATATAAGGAATTCAAAGAGAAATCATAAGAATGACATAAAATCATTTAAATGTTTAAACCTTTTTTTAAAGGTTTTTTTTATCATCACAAAAAATAAATAAAATGTTAAATTTAAACCATGTTTTTAAATATATATTTAATCCCAATATATTTTTTCATAAACAAAAACTTGAAAACTTTTTTTAAAGTAAATTGAAATGTATTTGTACTGCTGAGGATTATACAGTACAATGGCATTAATGGCAGTTTAATAGTGCTTAATGTACTGGAGACAATGGCTAAAGCCCCATCAAATAAGAAAAACGCTATTTATCTACATCTGAGGACATGTTAGTTCCTCTCCAAACCCATCTAATGTGTACACTACTAATGTGTAACCCCCCCCCCCCCCCACCCCACCAGTACCAGTTCACTGGGGTCCCCAACCTAATCCTGTTACCAGGAGGTCTGGCTGTTTGAGGAGGCTCATAGATTAACACGGCAGACATAGCAGACACAGCCACATGGACATCTGCCCTACTTTCTGCATTTCACATATCCCCCCCAAAAAAGACGGAGAGAGACCTGGTTCAAAGAGCAAGGGGCCATTTCATGAAATCGGTAAGCCAGTCATTGTTAAAGCTGTCATTTCTCCTCTGGGGCCGGTGCACTTTAACTGAACTGTCAGCTTTCTACTTAATGCTTGTTAAGGGTAACAGGCCAGTCTGCTGATAGCACTAATGAGGACCAGAAAAAAAAAGACACAAGCATGTTTAAAGGATGCACACCGATTGTCATAACAAACACAATGGTGCCGTAATGGCTACAAAAATCAGCTACTCACGGAAATTATGAAGATGTGAAGATTTACAGCAGATGGTGAAAGACTCATTCGTCTATAAATATGTTAATGTTTTGTTACGCGGTCAGCTCTCCGCTTCCATAAACAAGTGCTTTCCTCTGCTTTATTATTTGTGACGCTCTGATTTAATTCCAATTACCCCATTAATTAGAAATCTTGTGCCCTCTGATCTAGGGTACGTTTCAACTTAATAACATTTGCCAGGTTTTATTTGTACACAGAGACCAATGCTTGCTTGTATTTGTTTACAGAACAGAAAGTGGTTTTTTTTCCTAGAGGCAAAAAATCTGTATTTGCGCTGTATTTGTCACATAACATCCTGTGATAACACAATCAGAGAGAGATTAAATCATTAAATACTATTAAGCACTCTTATCTCCTGTCATTTTTCTTGAGATGCGAGTCCACAATTTGTGTTCTTGTTTAATCAGCACATTGATTATACGAAATCTGCATTTCAATGGGACACATCACAAAATAATTTTTTGGGCGAACAATTAAGCCATTTAAATGTAACCAAAAAACAATTTTGCCTTAAAGCTGAAGTGTTTAATTTCTGCACACAGCATCACTAAATGGAACTGCACAAGTAATAACTGTTAAATCAGATTATAGATTGTCCTGGTACAAAATCACATCACTGCAAAAATATACAAATTAAAATAAAAATCGACGAAACAGATTTTTATTTTATTTATTTGCAGCAACTCGTATTTTCAATATTTTTTTGTTTTCCAGTAAAAATATATAGACATCCATTAAGCAAGACAATTTTTAGATGATTATTATTATTTGTTATTTTAAAAAGTTTTTTTTAATTTTTTTATTTTCTTCTCACATTCTTGTCTTTGTTTTAAGTATAAACTTCACTAAATATAGGTAGATTTATACTTAAAACAAGAAAACTACAATTTGAAAATTAGGCAATAAAAATTAACTTAATTTAAGATATACTGTCTGAAAATAAGTCTTAATATCAGATATTAACATCAAAGTCTTATTCGATTATATTTGATTTGCTTATTAAAAACAATCTCATTTAAAGAATATTTAGATATTTCACATAAAAAAAAAAGTCTGATTAACAAAATTATTTTTTGCAGAAATGTTTTGTTCACCAAAGAGTTAAAGTATTTACACATTTTAGGGAAATCAGCTTAAAAATGGCTTCATACTTGTCTCTGGAATAAGAAAAAGTATTTTAACATTGCACAAAAATCACACACAAGATCTCGAAAGGCAACTCAGATATCACATATCTAAATGATGCTGCTTCTACCTAGTGCCAAGCAAACCACATTTCTGACGGCTGTTGTATTGCTGATCTGTTCAGTGCAGCTCAGTTCTGCTCATTAGGCAGTTGTCCCTCACTACAGCAGCCAGACCCACTTCATACTGGCCTTGCTAGTTCATTAGGACACTGTTCGCTCTCTTGGCTCCCGGGGTAAAACACAAACCGTTCGCGGTCAGCCGCTCCGCGCCCTAATCCAGTCATGAGACTGGGCTCTTAAACACTATTGCGGCTAAGCCTGGCCATGTGTGGCTCCGACCTGAGGGACTCGGTCCACCAGCCTAGAGCCTTAAATCTCTCCCCCGTTCTCACTCTCTCCTTCGTCCTCTACCCCGTTGCTATTTCTCCATGCCAGCGTTGCCTCCCTCTCTTCTTCTCTCCTGCCTCCTCTAATGGCATTCTTCAAGAGCTGGCCCTGTCGTGCCGCCCGCTCACAGTCTCTTAATTAAAATGCTCCCACTGCTCTGTTTATGTGACCGTTGACTGTTAAATTAAGATGCTGTCACACTGGGCCGCAACAGTACATTTTTATTTATTTATTTTTGCCAGGGCGAGTTCCGCTATGAGCGCTAGGTCCCGGGACTGCAAGCTGACATGTTTTCTTTGTCTAAGGTCGGAATTTACACCATTTAAAAATACACTCCACCTCATTACAGCACTGCCCTAAGGAGGCAAGCAGTCGGCATGGGCTAATAAGGTATGTGTTAGAGACTGATTTTAATAGGATTTAATGTATGCAGAGGCTACGCTAAAGTGACATTATACGTCTTGAACAATGCTTTCTGGGGGTGTGGGGGGCCATTGGTGCTAAATCTGCAAATATTGCATTTGCACCATGCTTGTATTACACATTGAGCCTTCCTTGGCTTCAAAACATCTGACAGTATTGACTTGGCCTGAGTAAGTGAGTGTGGGAGTTGAAACCAGAGAAAAAATGAGGATTGATTTACTCAAAAAAAAACAAAAAAAAAAACATCCTACTGAACGACGTCTTGAAAATATTGTAAAACCACCCTATCTATAATCACCCTCAGTTAAAGGCATTACTCCCATACCACCCACAGAAGTCTCCAATGAGGAAACAAAAGCCATAAAAAGAAATTCTGTCATCATTTACTTACCCTCATGCCATTCCAAACCTGTATGACTTTCTTTCTTTTGTGAAACACAACAGATGATATTTTAACTGTTTGTCTATATAATGAAAGTTAATGAGGTCCAAAACAACACTGGACCCCACTGACTTTCATTGTATGGAGACATTTTTTTAAAATATCGTCTTTTGTGTTCCACAGAAGAATGTGAGTCATACAGGTTTGGAACGACATGAGAAAATGATGGCAGAATTTTAATTTTTGAATACAAACAAATGCTTCAAACTGTGCCGTACCTTGGGGGGAAAAAATCCTACATCATAGTCAAGGATGATCCACTTGTCTACACATCACTTCATATTTACCTATTTTATATATGCTACTGTTCAAAGGTTTGGGGTCAATAAGATAAAAAAAAAAAAAATTATACTTTCATTCAGCAAGGATGCATTAAATTAATCAAAAGTGACATTTATAATGATACAAAAGATTTATATTTCAAAATGCTAACGGATCTGAAGGATTAAGCGACACTAAAGACTGAAGTAATGGCTGCTGAAAATTCAGCTTTGCCATCACAGGAATTAATTACATTTTATAAAATATAGTTAAATAGAAAACAGCTAATTTATATTGTAATAATATTTCACAATATTACTGTATCTTTGATTAAATACATGCAGCCTTGGTGACCACAAGAGACTAAAAACAAACATATCAACCCCAAACGTTTGAATTGTAGAGTAAATAATGACAGAATTGTCCTTTTTGGGTGAACTATCCCTTTAAGACCCACAGCAGCAGAAGGAACAAAATCCTTTTCTGCGGGTCCCGTCTTGAGTTTGCTTTTGTGTGGCGTCTCTCTGGGGTTAATGTATGTTAATGTATCATTTATAAAGGTGCTTATTAGTGTGTTTTGCAGACTGCTGCTTTGTAAAACAATACCGAGCCCTGCCGAGACGGTTAGTTAGAGGCGTGAGC